GCACAGAGAGCCCCACAACCCAGGCATGTGCTACCATATCCTCCTCATGCTGTTGTAACCTGGATGGGGATCAGCTCGGGTGCCTCCCCAGCTCACTGGGTTAAACCCATTTGCCTATTGCTGGGCTGGGAGCCAAAAGGATGGCCTTCCCAGGATGGGTTAAAGCAACAGCAGGCAGATCTCATGCATGTTTGGCATGGAAATCCCCATCCTATTGTCCTGCCTGAACATCAACAAGCTCAGCAGTGGAGGCACTGTTCCCTTTCTGGAGGAAAGCTGTATGGTTAAAACTGGGGCAGATTCTGAGAAGGGATAGCTTCTAAAGAGAGTTGGCTTTCTCTTCTAATATTTTCCAATCAGCTACTGAGATAATGTTGCCCTGTGGGGACAGAGACAGTGACTTGTCCATTCACTATTTGCCTACCTGTCTAAAGTCTGATGCTCCTGCAAACAGGGGACATTTTGATCATGCATTATCCTGAGGTCACGCTCGCATTTCTCCTCCAACAAAGCTCACCTGCAAGGGTCCCAGTATTAGCTGCCACCCTGCAATGGTCAAGACTTACACTTCCTTTTGTCAAATAATGGCAAACCCACCCAAACCTCTGCCTGCTAATACGAACTAACATCATACCAAAGAGCTCCATGAATGTCTTTTTGTGTAGTTGAGCAACACATGTATGTTCAAATTATTATCAACAGAAACACACTTACTAAAAGACAGAGAGGTCAAAAAGAGAATGTAAAAGTCTCATATGAATGAAAAAAGTTGTTATGACATGGAAAGAATTTTAGAGGCTTTTTATTTTTTCCTGGGAAATATTTTCTCTCTTCAACCATTTCCACCTCTTCAGTGCCATCCTTCCTAGAAAGCTAAAGCCTCTGGCCACATGAGAGGTATGTCTGTGAGTCCCACAGGGCACAAGCCATCTGGCTCACAACACAGTTCAGTTCTGACTAGTCCCTGCATGCTGTTTTTTTTTTTTTTTTTTTGATCATTTAGATTACACAACTTCTTTGTTGTTTTTAATTTGTTTGTTTGTTTTTTACATCCAATATGAAAACAAATCTACATCAGGGTCCCTTACTTCTTATGAAAATATTGCTACATCTCGACTGATGATCAAAATTTTGTTTTGGTAAAAGCCCAGTGCACATAAACCAATGATTTTGTCAAGGTTTGGCCTGGAGAACATAAAGGCACCACCCCTATATACAAACATTACGGAGTTTCAAGTAAAACTTTGACCTGGATAACCTACAGTAGTCCTGGAAGACAGGTGGAGATCCATTGGTCACAATGTTTGGGAGGCACAGATAAAGCAAGAGCTGGCAATGTCTGCAGAGCCATTTGTTTGATGGGCAGCAATGCTCTCAGCTGCAGATCCACCCACAAAAGAAAGGAAATACACTTCAGTAGCTAATACCAGATGCCCCATACCTGGAGGTGTTCAAGGCTAGGCTGGATGGGGCCTTGGCCAACCTCTTGAGCAGTTCTGGTTTTGCCTGACAGAGGAGTGGAGATGTCAAAGAGAGGGAGCTCCACCAAGCCTCGTGAAGACAAGCAGCCAGACAGGAGCAGAGGCCAGCATGCCCCCACTGACACCGAGGCTGAAATGTGAATTCTGCTCATCAGACACCAGCAAACGTAGCCCCAGGCTTAACCTAGAGAAGCCTGGTCTGCAGCATGGCTGCTGCCCAGAAGCCAAGTGTCTCCCATCCCCAGTGCTGTTTGAAAGATGCACACAAACATACTGAATGGAGAGGGGGATGATGCAATCAAATCCACCAAAAAATCCCATCAAAAGTAATTTTTTTTTTTTTCCAAAATCTTTCAGTTTCAATCTTAATATTGCTTGTAACAGTAGCAAAAACAGTACTTGTGGTTGCAGTATGACTTATTCAAAGTTGGCAGCCCTTTAAGGGGCTAAAAAAAAATGATAGTTGGAAACTTGTTTTCACATCATCGAGTCCACACCTTTCAAAGCAGTTCATAGTGTATTTAATTACAAACTCAGTTCAGCACACTGAATTATTACACGCTGCTTTGTTCCGGTTTTGTACCTGCCTCCACTGATGGTCTGACTGCATTTTTTCTCATTGCCACTTCGGCAAGAGAGATCTTGTTGATTAATATCGGAAACATCTGTAGAGCACAAACTTAACAGAGAATGAGAAAGATTGGTAGCTGCTATTAGCCCAGGGGAAGATTTTGATAACAAGATAATGCCCTAATTTTCTGAGAAGAACATTCACTTTTTACTAGCGTGCTGTGTTTGACTCGGTGGTGACTTTTACTGGTTACCCAGGCGAACATAAATAATGCTTTGTGTAAGTGCATTTTGCAGATGCAGACTGTTTCCAGATCACCTAAACACATCTCTCTCACTTTGCTACTAATTTTCCCTGGGAGAGGAACCAGCTCCTTTCCTGCCCTGGCTGGGGCAGGGAGCATGCACCTGCCTTCCTTGCCCAGCTGGCTGCGAGGAGGTGAAGCAGCTCTGCAGGGGCCAGAGTGTTTCAAGGAAGGGGCTGGCCGCAATGTTGGTGACTTCCCAGCATGTCCCTTGGGGATGTAGCCACTGAAATGTGCTTGTTCCTAAAACACCAGCATGACAGAGGTGGGGGTCTGGGGAGCAGAGGCAAGGGGTGAGGAGGAAGCAGGGGGTGGGCAGCAGCCTCCAGCTTCCGTGGGGTTTGTGCCACCAGGGAATGAGGCGATCACTCTGAAATCCTGCCCCAAAGCCTGTCCCAGGCTTCTGCAGGGCTGTGCAAATATAGCGTCAGCAATCCCTGTTTACAGGAAGATCCATGAAGTTATGCAGCAGGAGATATACCCGTGAACTCCACTGTTTCACAAGAAATGAGAACTAAGGTTGAACTATGTATGGTTGGTTTGGGTGTTTTTTTGGTTCGTTTGTTTGTTTTTCCCCATAATTTAACATGGAAAAAAATAAATTGGAAAAAACAAGTGCCAGGACCGCTGGGGGGAGGTGTTATCCCGGTGATCCTGGGCCGGCTGCACCTCCTGCAGCTCCCGGCTGCAAGTGCTTAGTGCACTTTGGGGTAAGGCACTGAGAGGAAAATTTGCTTGCTTTAGGTTTTCCCAAGCTTTAATACTTCAAAATGTGCTCTGCACCAAAGCAGAGAGTGCTGCTTAAAAAGTCAGAAATGCCCTGAAGTGTCTTTTTGTAATTAATTGATCATAAAAGCTTTTAACACTTTCAGTCATGCATGGAGATTAATGAGGCAACAACTTCAGGGGACGGCAAGGAGAGTTTTAAAAGATAATGGTTAGTAAATGGGGAAGCTGCTGCTCTATTACCTTTGCATTTCCTGGTGTTAAAAACTGCGATCTTTGAGGATATCTGTGAGTCAAAAGGGGAAAGATGAATACTCCTGTTACAATGAAATAACTGAGCTGTGGTAAACTTCTTCAGTTTGTCAGGAAAAGAAGCAGGAACAAGGCAGTATGCAAAGGTACCTTGTAAAGATATGTTTTCTTTCTTCTGCAACATTTAAATGGCAATGAAAAGTGTTTATTAAACATGATAAGTTTGGATCAGATCTCGAGGTGTCTAGAAGTATGTTATGCTGCATTTCTTGATACACAGTCCCAGTGAATTTCTTCTGCAATTACTGTTTTGTGGGAATAAATTTATTCCCCTAGAGCTCTGCTTACAAATTGGAGAACTAAAGGTATGCTGTGGTTTAGTCTTCCAGGTGGGAAAGCAGTGTAGCCTTGAGGAATCAGATGCAACACAAACTGAACAGCAGTTGATTTTCATGTGCATTTCTACAACTGAAGTACCATGGGAAACGAGTTCTGTGATGTGTGTTCAGTGTCTGTAATACGGCAAGAGGCACTGTAAGTACCCCACTGGTAGGGGAAATGTGTCTATTCTCCCTTTCACCTTACAGTCAAGTAACGTATCCTGTGGCCCCATGCACAAAGTGACCAATTCTGAGGTCTCCAGTATCACAAACAGTCAGAGCAGCATATTTCTGGAATACAGCTGTGTCACCTTCTGGTTGTCAGTAGTCAGTGTTAAGCTAGGACAGAAAGCTATGTATTTTGCCTTTACCATCATTAAAGTATCATCTATTTCATTTTCACATGGTGTTCAGCAAAGATCTGAATGGATAGTGAAATTATATCTTGAGATTTCCCCAAACTGAGGATATTTTTTATCATAGTACTGCAATATAAGTGTGTTGGAGGACTGTTTTGTTCTTAGCTCTGCTGAGGACAAGATTTTGTCTTCTGGGTTTTGGCAACCTGATATTTCCACAAGCTCTGTTGCTTTCCCAAAGTCCACTATGGTCAGATATCTTGTCAGAGGGGAACTACAATGCCAACTCCATGCTTTCCATTTTCTTCCTTAAGGCACACTAAGGGCTGCAGCTCTTCCAGTTAGAGCCATGCAGAAATGAGACAACATGGGCTGCTAAGATCTGACAACAGTCACAGTTGTCTTCCCCATGCTCTCCCACAGGATGAAGCACCTGTGATGTTTCAGAGACCTCTCACAATAGAGAAGTTCCACACACAGCAAAACCAGATTAAGTTTGCTAATTTTAAAAATGTTCCAAAGCAGGAGCCATCTTATTTGGTTTTGGTATTCCTCCATATGCAGACAGAGCATAGTAGGAGCACCAATCAAGAGAAAAAATACAGTTTATTCTATTCATTTTTTTTTTTTTTTTTAAATAATATAGAAATAGTTATTCACAAAAATCTTCAGCACAGTGGAAATGGGTAGCCATTAGAAATATAAGGTACTATGCTCTTACACGATGAGTGATGCAGAAGATTTTTGTGTTTGAGTACAATGAATGCAATTTATTGTTTTGGAAGAGATTCTTCTAGTTTCTATCAAAGAAATCATCACCTCTTTAAAAGGAATTCCCAAGCTTTTCCATGACCAAATGAATTTTATATAGTTTTTTGTTGTTGGTTTTTTTTTTTTTTTTTTTTTTTTTTTTTTTTAGGTAAAACTATGAATCACCAAGTGAGATGTGGCCCAAATTAAAAGAGGAGTTCCCAGGTATCAGGAAGCCTGGTCCTTGAACTTAACTGAGATCTTACTGTTTAATTGCTCTGTTTAAGAAAATAAGATTATGTTTATTTCAAAGGTAACCTCAGCACTTCCACGGATTTTGCAATACTGCACTAACGGATGGGGGCTTAGAACAAAAGCACAAGAGCAGATTCAGTCATTCTGAATTCAACCCTGCATCTACGCAGAGACTCTTGTAACATAAAGAAAATCCCTGCTGAGACAATCTTCTACTTATTTATTTCAGGATCATATGAGCAAGCAGAGAATGTCCTAAGCTTTGTTCCTAGCACCCAGGTTGACAAGCTGTCCAGAGTCAGAATAACCCTGGCCTCATACTTCTTGCTACCGTCTCCTGCTGAGTGTAAAATATGGCTGTCTTGCAGTTTGAATAAGGCTTTTAATATGCCATGGGATGTCACGGTCCACAGAAATGGAATACAGTGTTCTGCTTGCTGTGAAATAGAAAAAAAGCTAACCAAACTGGTTCCTTCCTCCTGAGTACATAGTGACTGATTTGAAGTTCAGTCACTGAGACTAAAAGTATCAGCCTTGATCACAAAAAGAAAAAAGCACTTGACAGATGGATTTAGTCTTCCCTCAGCATGAACATCTATTTGCCGCTAAAAGTTTGGTTAGTATATTGAAGCCGAATAATGGGATCTCTTCTCTTAATCCATCATTAACAGACTGTGGCATGAGGCGGATATTATTTCTTTGAATTGAGCTCTCTGGGGGGAATGTTCAGTGCTCTGGTAGAAATCATGCTATTTGGAAGGGTGTACATGGCTGGGGGAAAAGAAAAGTTTATTTGAGAATATAAAGAGAAATAACTCTTAACAGCAGGGCTTTTTTCCACTGCATGGCTACATTTACTGGAGCTGAAGTGCTGACTCCCTGTCCTCACACACACAAATACAAACACAGATTGCTCTGATGAGACCAGTCAGTGCTTTGTGTGATGCTGCAAATAAATACTAGTGAATATAGAAGTGCTACAGGAACAGCAAACACAGAGTGTGACATCAACATCTCCAGTGTCGCTGGGTATTCCTACAGATTTCTCACCACCTTTCCTCACCCTCTTCCTGATGCAGTGCTGCAGAGCAAGACGGGATGTGAGACAGGTAAGTGCCTTGTTCTGTCCAGCCCCAGTGAAAGGGCTGACCAGGGTCACAGCCATTAGTTGATGATGAGATTTCAGAAGCAAAGTCAACACACATTGCCTTGTGTAAAATCCTGTTCAGTGGACACAAAACTGGCTTGGAAAATCCATAGTGAAGCTGGAGACCATGTGTGCAAGTGTTGAAGTATGCTGCAGAGCAGGCGAGACAGCTTAAAGATATTTTCTGGAAATCTTTGCTCTCTATCACTGCCTGTACTAAGAAAGTCTTTGCCATGGCCCTGATTTTGAGGATGATAGTGCTTTTCACTATTTTCTGACTTCGAAGCCAACACAGAGCTGTGTTCTCTTTCAAGCCCTACAGTGTGCTGTTTTACCATGTTGGACTCAACTAAGGCGACTGTCCAATTTTAATAGATGTATTTTCCACAGGAAATTAATGTATTGTTTCCCCAAAGCTATTTCAGTCAGTAAACTTCACTGCAGCCTGACCAAGTCGCACGTTACTTCAGCCAGCCAGATGAATTGGGTGCCGTTGTTCGGTCCTCTGACTAGTTTTGGCCAAGAGAGTTGTGACAGCCTCAGGCTGCCAGCTACCAGGTGACAGCTCGCAGCACGGTCTGGTAGCCAAACATCCCTGTGTGTTGTTTTTGTTTGTTTGTTTCTCAAGGAAAACTGTGTATAGAGATTAATTGTTAATTAATAATAATTAATTGTTGTGTTGCTTCTTTGACTATCTATAGTATATATAATTGTATAGTATGTAGATAGGACATATATGGTAGTATGTATATCATAGTGCCAGGGTATGGGATGTGGAGTATATGCTCTGCATTTGATTGTAGATATCTATATTTTATATAGTCTTTTCAGTAGATTTTCAATTATTATTTCTTTCTCTTCTCCAGGAGGTACTGCAAAAATGAGAGTGAAGGCTCAGCTTCACCTCTCTGGAGATAAAACCTTGCAAGCAGCCACGATCCCTTCCCCGAGCCTCTCTCTGTCACGATGACAAGCAGCTCACTGCTGTCAGGCCCGTGTAGGAAATCCACACAGCGACACGGAGAATGTTTATTGTGGAGGGAGAACTTTTGCCCTGTGAAGTCACCTCCTACCAGTCACCAGTAGGTTTCTGATATTCTATCACAGGAAATTCCTGGTGGACCACAAAAGCAGTCCCCTGAGTGCAGCTGCTGGGGGGGAGAAGCGGTGCGCTGCGCCGTGGGGCTGAGCCGCGGCGGCCAGGGTGCAACCGAGCACCTGTGCCCTGCAAAACGCAGACTGTGTGCTCTTCAAACAATGTTCCAGTGAGCTATACAGGGGGGCAAAGGTCACGCGAACCATTATTGTGCTGCATTTTATGCAAACAAAAAAAAATGTATTAGAGGATGTGCTTTGTATTGTAACAAGGTACTGTAAGATTATATTTAGGCTTCGTGGCTTTGAAGCCCTTGGTAACACAACTGTATAATCACAGCTCTTGATGTTAATGAGGAAGTTATATCATAAGGTACTCCAACTTACTGGGAACAGTGTAGGAAGAATTAATAACCTTTAGGAGAGCCTATAAATCCAGATACTGAAGCCTCGAATGCTGGTTGTATGAGATAGGTACATATGAGATGGATATACATGTACATATACATCTCATATACATCTCTGCAAAGCAGAAAGAATCACAGAATCACAGAATGGCTCAGGTTGGAAGGGACCTCAAAGGCCATCTAGTTCCAACCCCACTGCCATGGGCAGGGATGCCACCCACTAGATCAGGTTGCCCAGGGCCTCATCCAACCTGGCCTTGAACACCTCCAGGGATGGGGCATCCACAGCTTCTCTGGGCAACCTGTGCCAGTGCCACCCTCGTAGTAAAGAATTTCCTCCTTTATTCTAAATGTACCCTCTTTAAGTTTAAAACCATTCCCCCTTGTCCTGTCATCTCCCTGATTAAAAAGAAGGAAGATACCATCTGGCAATTGCTGTTCTCACCTTGCTTGTCAGGCACTTGTTCTCCTTATATACCTCAGGGTGTGGAGTCGATGATCTTGAGGTCTCTTCCAACCTAGAAATTCTGTGATTCTGTGTGTGATTCCTCACGGGCACATCACTTTCCTCTGCTCTTCTGCTGGGGTTTCAATAGGGGATCACAGTAGCTACCTCAGCAAGCGAGCAAGACTGCATGAACCCTTATCTGAGTGAGTTACTGCATGATGGGGAAGCAGTCAAAGGGTGAACACCATGTGGCTGGACGCTACAAGTTTGCAGTTTCCTTGACTAAAAAGCAGACTCCTCCTTTCTTTTAAAGATAGGGATGCTTTGGAAAGAAAATGCTAACTGGCACCTGCTAAAAGCAGATGCATGCTTCCAGAGAGCTGCTGTTAACTTTTTACCAATGTCTGATTTCTGTCTCTAAATCAGCAGTACCAAGACAGAATTTGAACTAAACAAGAATTGACCCAAATATAAGCTGTTCCACTCATACTCATAAAACCGTCGACAACAAAGAAATTAAAAGGGTGACGGGCAGAAACGGGAGGAGAGGTAGAGGAGGGCTAGAGTTCTAGGGCGGTCGAGGAGAGGAGGAGAGGCGAGGAGGAAAGGCTAGCGGAGATTTAGTCTGCGGTCGTCTCTTCTCGCGGATTTGTCTCTAGGCGAGTCTTCCTTCTCTTCTCGGTCGAGCTAGTTTCTTATCTCTCTCTCTTCTCTTCTCTTCTCTTCTTCTCTTCTTCTTCTCTTCTCTTCTCTTCTCTTCTCTTCTCTTCTCTTTTCTCTTCTCTCTCTTCTCAATTTCATTTAAATGTTCACTTCTCACAGCATTTTCCAACTATCCCAATCCCCAGGATGTCTAAATCTTGCCAAAAGGGCTTGTTTTGGGTCCCCATAGGATTCTGATGCTGTGCACATTTGCTGTTCCTGCAGTGCTCTCTATTCAGTGACGCTTGCATCACCACGCTGTCACTACGAGCCTCGTCAGGGCACACTGTGTGTGTAGGCATGAGGAGCAGGGAGTCAGCATTGGAGGCATCAGCTCCTTGCAGAGGGGTACAACTATGTTCAAAGAGGTTGTGTGTTTTGGGGATTCGGTGGGTTTGGGGTTTTTTATTGAGTTAATGAGCGTGACTATCTTCTCCTCTTTTGAAGGAACTATTTAGAAGGTGAACACCAGCATTGTGCCAGCCTGCAGTGGCTGCACCAGGTTATTGCAACCCCAGAGCACGTAGTCTCCAGACCTACAAGCAAGGGAATATAAAGCTGTTTTCAGAGGGTGCCCATGTGACTGAGAAAGCATATGCACAGTTTTTAAAAAGTGGCTTACTGAGAGATGATGGACTCGGCAGAACCTGCAGAGAAATCAGATGGGCATTTTTGAAAACTGTGCCCCTTATTTTAAAAGAAAGGAAAACGTGAGGCAATCGCAGCTGATTCAGCATCCGGCAGTCTCAGCCAAGTCATATTTTACCTCTTCCCTTCCCTCCCCGCACAAAACTTCCAGGAAAACCTGCAAAGAAAAGGCATATGTGGGTAGGAGGAGACCTGCTTTTAATTTCTGTACCTCCTATTCAACACAATGCCACACAATGCACAGGATGCGAATATCCCAAGGCACCTTATACAATACAAGTAACAAAAGCACACACACATGCGCAAGAAAGGGGGGAGAAGCAAGCATGACAGAGCTACAAAGCAAAGTACAGGTAGAGCTGTCTTTAAAGTGCTTACATGGAGGAGCTACACGAAAAACTCATCTCTAGAAAGGAGAAGTTGGGGACTGGAGAAATATTCCAGTGATTGCAAAAATTGGATTTCCATTTCAAAACATGATTTATCAGTTTTTCTCTGTTGTTTTGAATATAGTGGCCAGATCTTTAAGGCCCCTTCCAACCCAAACCATTCTATGATTCTGTGAGACTGTGATCTTCATTACCAACAGAGGAGGACTCTAGTGCAACATGTCCTCAGTGCAATGTCCACTGATGCTCCTATGGTATTGTCTATAGAGCAACCTGAAGCCAGCACCGAGTCACATAAAGGCTGCAACGATAGCCTGCAGAAATTGCTGTGGTTAGAAGTATATAACAGGTATAACTGTTTTGGCTATCAAGGGGTGAGTGTATGTAGGAGGTGCTGACTCCCACAGAAACACCACCTCACCTGACTAAAAGAGATCCTTCAGGGGACAGGACTGCAACCACCATCCTGGTAAAGTGCTGCAAAGTGTTTAGAGCAACGCCCAGCATTAAGGCTGCTGTCAGCACTAAATGCATCAGAGCCTGATCAAAGAAATCTAGGGTTTCTTGCAGCCTCTTGCTGAGGCACTGCTCTGCATTTCCATGAGAATGACAGTGCTGTGGGTGAAGCACCTGGAGCCTCCTCGCCTGGCCAGCTCTCAGCTCAGGCACAATTCACTCAAATTTTGTGAGCTCACAAAATCCATGAAGGAGACACGATTTCTGAGCAAGCCACTCTTCAACATTTGTCTGGAGTTGCCATGAGAGTTTTACAGCAAGAATGTATGCTGTTATCAGATAGGAACAATAGAAAAAAAAACCACACACACACAAAAAAAAAACAAAAAAACCCACTTAAAAATAGTTGGACAAAATCTTCACAATCTTTACATATATATAATAAAAAAGAGATTTTATTTTATTATTATTATTATTATTATTATTATTATTGTTTAATAGAGGGCTTTCAAAGGAAAGCCTAGCTGAATTTTAATGACAAAAGTGTTGGCTGGTGCATCAAAATCAAATGTGAACATACAGAGACAGAGAGGAGAAACTGGAGGAAATATAAGCAGGCTATAGCCATGAATCACATTCTCCCTATGGAATGGGGTCACTGGTGTAACATTACCTCTGTGTCTGAGAAAAAATGAAACTGGTATTTATTTATTACATTTGAATATTGGTGGACAGATGCTATCAGTATAGTAGTAGTAATTATGGTGGAGCATTTTGAGTATCTGAGCTGCATAATTCTGAATCTACCAATACAAACCTCTCCCTTAATCAGAGAATGGCTTAGGTTAGAAGGGACCTCAAAGACCATCTAGTTCCAACCCCACTGCCATGGGCAGGGATGTCCACCCACTAGATCAGGTTGCCCAGGGTCCCATCCAACCTGGCCTTGAACACCTCCAGGGATGGGGCATCCACAGCCTCTCTGGGCAGCCTGTGCCAGTGCCTCACCACCCTCTGAGTGAAAATTTCCTCCTTATATCTAACCTAAATCTCCCCTGTGTTTGTTTAAAACCATTCCTCCTTGTCCTGTCATTATCTGACTGAGCAAAAAGTCACTCTCCATCTTTTTTATAAGCCCCCGCTAAGTATTGAAAAGCTGCAGTGATATCTCCCTGGAGCCTTCTCTTCTTTAGGCTTAACAGCCCCACCTCTCTCAGCCTTTGTAGGAGAGGTGCTCCAGCCCCTTGATCAGTAATGGATGATCAAATACAATAATACCAGATCAAATACATGCTCAGTGTAATGGTACTAGGAAATTCACTAGAAAGAAGGAAGAAAAGCAAGAACAACAACAACAACAAGAAGAAGTTTTTTTTTTTTCTTTTTATCTTCTCTTTTTATTTTATTTTATTTTATTTTATTTTATTTTATTTTATTTTATTTTATTTTATTTTATTTTATTATTTTATTTTATTTTATTTTATTTTATTTTATTTTATTTTATTTTATTTTATTTTATTTATTTTATTTTATTTTATTTTATTTTATTTTATTTTATTTTATTTTATTTTATTATTTTATTATACATTGTGAAGTGTGACGAGACAGAGGCTTTGTATAATGACTTTTGAAATTGTCACCAGTGGAATCAGATGTCCTAGACTCATCAACAGTGATGGCACCTCCAGGTTTGGTGCACAGAGCTGCTTAGAACTGCTGGAAAAGTTTGTGTGAAGGACACAGGTTTGTTATATATATTGTATACAATCCCTTCTTGCATTTCTGATAGGATTGCATTCTGGCTTTTGATTTTATTTTTCTGAAAATAAAAAATCAAACAAATGTGATACAGATGTACAAATGAAGGGTTATCTTAGCTGCATGCAGTAGTATCTTTTACAGCAAGAATGTATTTAGGATTTTCTGAAGGTACATACAAAAATTATTTTGCATTAGCTGAGTAAACATTATTTAAACAATTGCCTTATCTTTTGTGTGCTTTATTGGGAGGCTGGATAGATAAATAAACAGTTCTTCCTTCAGCAGGACCAGCCCCACTCTGCAGCAAGCTCCTCACCTTCCCTCTCGACCTGCTCCCCCTGCTCCCCCAGCTCTGCAGATCTGGCTGCCTCTGGCCTCAGCTGCCACTTCGTCATCCCGGCCGGCTCAGGAAAAGGAGTCATTTGTTGCCTGAACATTGGGCTGAGTTGGTAAAAGTGACCGAAAATGAATCTGTAGGTTAGTTCCAGTAAGTGATTTCATTTTTCTTGTGTTTTAAATGTGCTCTTACCTGGCTAAAAGCCAATGGTTTGCTTAGAAACACGCTGGACACCAGCGATGCCTGCCGTGAAAGTCAGCTCATGCCATGCACCACATCCTTTTAGCACGTGCTGATGCCTAAAAATGTGCACTCAGAAACAAATCTTTTTATAGTAAAATAGCTTCCAAATTTTATCCCATAGACACTCTGCACCTATTTTTCTTGCAGAAAGCAGAGTTCTTATCAGTGTGTGAAATGTGCTGATATACATGTATTCCCAGTGACCCAGAATACAAACTCCTGCGCAGACATGTAATAGGATCCCCAGGAAATTTTTGCAGGGTCTTGGATCTTGGATATGGATTAGACAGGTTGAACAAAAATTATCTTTGCTTTCTGCTAAACTTTCTGGCAGTTTTAAAAGATTCCTGTTCTGCACTGATGAAACCAAGACCTTTGGCGAATGGGGTGGTTTTTATTTGTTTAAATTTTATTTTTATTTATTTCTACACTCTGTGTGTTATTTGTGTTTGTAAAACCAGAGAGACTTAGGCACTGTGAAGTAGTCCTGACTCCTAAGACCAGGAATTTAAGGACTAATCAAAGTCTGACTTGATCATCAGAGTACTCATTGCTCTGTAGAGAAGCTCTCACTCACTCATGGGCTACAACACTGGTAAACTACTTTAAATAAAAATTTACATTGTGGAGAAATTAGTTATCTTATTTTCCTCCGATCTGCTTTTGAATGCAAGATAGCCTTAGTCAGCACAGATTGCAAGCTACATTTGATCTCCTGTCCTGTAATTCCAAATTTCCTTCATCAGAGTTTGGGGGTACAAAGGAACAAACTATAAATTGCTGACTGAAATCTCTAAAACCCAGGTATTGAAAAGCTGGCACATATTTAATCAATCTTGAGAGGAGAAAGGTTTTTTTTATTAGGCTGTAGAGAAAGGAGAAAGCTTTGGGTGAGCAAAGGTATGGAGAGAAGTTTGCTGAGATCTTTGTAGTGTAATAAACCATAACTCAATCATGGCTGACGACTTCACACTGCGAAACAGGTCTGACACCCTGTGTGCCTCCGGCATACACAGAACTCTGACACTCTCCCAGGTTAGATACAGACCCATAACCCAGATGAACAACAGTCATCAACATGAACCAAATTCGACAAGCTCAGCCTGGTTTTTCACAGAGGGAAAGTGGTAAAAAATTCAAACCCTAATTTTGTAGTTTGCTCCAGAATCACAAACATCCCACTTTTTTATTTCTCTTTTATTTTTTAATAAACAGAACCTAAATTCAAAACTTAAGCTCATAGCCACTTCTTTTTTCCCCTCCTCGTCTTGTTTACATTTGCTTCCATCAGGGTCTCACACTATAACAACAATAGTGATATTTGTTTTCAGCTATCTAGTAATGTCTTCAAAGTAGAAGTACAACTTTGGGAGCTTGTGACCCATGTTTGGTTTTGACTAATGTTTGTATTTCCAACTAATGACCTCAATAACAATAAATAAATACATAAATAAAATCTATTTCTACCCTGCCACTGCAGCACAAACATACCAGACGAGATCTTCTTCTAAAACTGCTGGTAAAGGATTTTGTGTGCTTACAATTAAGAACAATAAACACAACGAACTTCAGTGCTTATGCTGATTGCTACTGGGAGGAATGAACAACTGACCAACTGTGTTGCTCAATGCCAAGTCTTTCAGGAGCTCATTTGCTTTGACAGCTATGCTGTGAATTTGAGTGCCCTTCCTCGGTCTTGATTAATTATTGTTGGAAAGGTGGGACACCAAAGTATGTCCCTTATCTGCAGGTGGAGATCATGGGTTATGCTATTTTTAATGCAGGTTTTGGCCAGGAAGCTTCATAGCCAATGGACACTCTCATAATTGTATCATTAGAAAAAAATCATAGTGTCTATCCCAGAGTGTCTGGACAAGACTTGGACGTTATTGTCTGGGTTATAAAGTGACTCAGTGCCGTAGGAATGCCAGCAATGAAAAGAGGAATTCTTTACATCCCACCCAGGGGAGTAAGAGGGAATCTCTGGCACATCCCTGCATGAAGTCCAAACAGCCAGACAGCTTCCAGCTGCTGGGCATGGCTCTACTTAAAAGAGAACTACAAAGTAGGGGGGGACATGGGTGTGGTTTGTTTTGACTGTGTTGTAGGGCAGAAAGATCTAGTTTTCCTCCAAATATTTTCTTTTTTTTTACACCCCCCACCCCTCCCCCCCACCTTCTGTTTGCATTTCTTCTGTTTGTTTGTTTGTTTTTTAACATCAGGACTTTGGACTTTGCCTGTCCCTGGAAGACTCTGTGGCTAAACAGAAATAACAATATGGGAGTGAAAGCTGAGAAATGGAGTGGGAAGGGTTTCTGCAAATGGGACAGCCCCAGCATTCTCCAAAAGGACTTAGCAGCCTCTGCCATCACTAACACCGTACTGACTGCTGAGCACTGAATTACTTGGCCATGAACCTATGCAGATACCCAACCACATACTCTTCTTGTGGGCTCTTTGTGGAGGTGCCACCGGGTGTCTCTGATCCCTGGGGCCCAGGCTGCCTCCATAAGAAGGGTGAGTAGACGTGGGTGGTCTGCAGAGAAGCTGCCACCATCTCCAGGGAGAAAGGTAATGTCAAAAAGGGACCTCTGCTGTTGTTTTGCTTCCTGCAGCTATGGGTTAGTGAGTGCCATCAGAGGAGTGGTTGCAGGCTTCTGCAGTTCAGTGAGCTGCCTCTGCTCCTGGGAGGGATTTAAAAGGTTAGCTGGATAGAAGTGTGTGTGCCAGAGCAGCAGGAACAAGCAGTCCTCCTGTAAGTGCCTGACAACCTCACGTGAAGAACAAATTCCTCGGCACACCCAGCAGCTGATGCTGGTGCACTGCAGCCTGGGGTAGGCACCAGGGTGTGTAGCACCAAACAGGGTGCAGAGCATCAGTGTTGAAGTAGTGATGTGGATTCAGGGCTTACGTGGGTTTTGGAGCCTGGTTTGGTACATGCACCAATGAAGATGTCTTTCAACAGCCCTGTGTTTCTCTTTTAGGGGCATCACTGCTACTTTATCTCCTGAATTTTAGAGTAAGAGCTCCGGATATGGGTGAGGCTTTTGCTCTTTGAAGTATTGCATGGCAAGATGGAAGAAGGTAAGAGCAGTAGGTAGAAGGTGAAGAACTTCTTAGGCCTTCATTTCAGGCTCCTGATTTCCCACGTATCCATATTGTAAAGTCCCTTTCCAGCTGATTTTCAGTTTCTCTGTAATGAAAGCAGAAGCATTGTGAATATTGGCTTTCCACACCAGAAGAGATTAGATAAAAAGATGATGCAAGCTCACTTTAAAGTAAGAAAGAAAAAAAAAAAAAAGACCAATCAATCCCTGTAACCTTAGGAATGATTATTAGATGTAATCTTTTCTTGTTTGTTTGTTTCTGTGTCATTAACTGCAGGTCACAATGTACTCTTAAGGATAAATCTTTCCACAAAACCCTGAAAAGCAGCTTGCAGCAGGGGTGGTGGGTTTAGGAATCCAAGAGTAAGTAGTAGCTGAGCTGGCTCAGCAATTTCCTAAGTTAGCATTGATTAATCCTTCTTTCTAATGTTACCTGTATGAAACAAATAGACCTTTGCCATTTCATTTGGTGGCCATCTATGTGCTGCTGGTTTAATAGCTAATTTAAGCTGTCCTACATAAGTACTGCCTTTATTTTCTGTTAGTTATCTGTGATTTTGCTGTTTTGTGTCCCTCCAGGTATTATGTGTCACTACTGAATTATTTTCTAAACAATGCTCTGGGGAAGCTTAGATATAACCTGAAAGGTGAGACCTACCATTGAATTCCCAAACTTTCAAAATCTTTGTATTTAACCTCTGCTTGAGCTTTCTAGGTATTTTGGCTATGAGGTTTTCCACATCTTAGCCCAGCTCTTCCCAAAGCTAATTGTTACTGCCGCTGACCTGGAGTGAGTTGAGTGAGGATCCTGACAGCTCTACATCCACCTTATCCTGATTTTCTTTCTTTCTGATTTAGTGTCTGATGTAATGTGCAGCGCTGAATACCAATGGTGTCTCATTAATGGATTTTTTTCCTTCCTGTACTTTGTTTTGTATTTAGATCTAATAAATGTGGATGGCTGCTGCTAATGGATGAATTGGCAGTCCACAGTCTTTGTTGACAGATTCAGCCAGCAACATATCTGTATTTTTTTAAGATGTTAATCAGTTGTGTGCTCACTAATGACTTTTGTGACTACAAAAGTTAGGGCTAGAGTGATGAGGTAAGTGACATACTTCCTAGGACACGCTTCCTAGTGTCATGCTGGTTTTCAGTGCTCACACTTATCATTAGGGGTACAAGATGTCTTCACAAATTTAATAAAAATTGATTATTTGCAACGTCCATGAAGAAGTTTTTGCATGGATGGGTGTCTGCCCTGTGTGGTGGGGTAAGAATCATGTCTTAAATGAGAATGACCTTCATTTATCAAAATCCCAAATATGTCCCTCTGCTATATCCCTTGGAATTTGATTCAGTGGTTATTTAGTTTGCAGCTGAATTACCTCATCCCATGCTGGCAAGGTCGGGCCACCTGGGGACTCCACCTGGGTCATGGGCGCTCCAGGAAGCTGTGGGTGGTTGAGCGCGGTGGGTGGCACGCTGCCCACTGAGTCACTGCAGCAAGGCCTTCACCAGGCCATGGGGCATGAAGAGAGTCATCTTTCAGAAGAGACACAACACTGGCCGATGGAAAATCCAGGGTGTTTTCTCATCAGAGAGAAAGCAGTGTTCTACCTAAGGAATATGTATGAGTTTTGCTGTTAGCATCTCTCTTGTACTGCTGAAATAGATGTTAGTGTGCTGTTCAGTAGCTTTCCTATTCAGGCATAGAGGCAGAAAGTGTGATGTGATTCACCGGAGAAACAAATGTGTAGCACTCCTGCAGGTGCAGTTACTAGCAAAACATTCAAGGGTTTAGCATTATTTCACTAAGCATTGTTTAAGTTCTGAGGATATATAGTTTAAAAACGTTTTGTTTTACTCTTCAAGGAAAAATGTTTGAGTTCACGTTTAACTAATATACTAATAAAACCCAGCCCAAAGTCCTCTCTTTTAATCAAGACAATACCCCAGTGCAATACCCCCAGATTTGAAAATGTGGCTCCTAACTGGGCTGCTGAGGATAAATACCATAAATAGCTCGCCGAGCTCCTTTTCATGTGCCTGAATGTGTTCTGTAGTGAGCCTGTGCAGAAAATGTGAATGTACACAGCATATCTCAAAGTGATCATCACAGCTTACTCTCCAGTTAGCTTTTGCAAATGCTATAATCTTTGGTGGCATCTTTACTTGCTTCTCTCACAATGACTTTGATTTCTTGACAAGTCCTGCCAAGGGGAGAAGGATATCTCTGGTCCGGCCCCAGCCCCATGGGGCTGCAGCTGCATCACTCTACTGCTCTGGCCCCAGCGGTCTGGCTGGTGTAAAGCATGCTGGCCAGCAGGACAAAGTGAGCGGGTGTCCAGCAGCAGCCAGAGGAGCAGCAGAGCAGCTGAGGCAGCCCCTGTGGCCTCCTGAGTCCTTCCCCTCTCCAAGCTCTTCAGCCTCCTGAGCTCAGCTCCCTCTCTCGTTGGAGTGTGCACATCCAAAAAGTGGTATGGTAGGAGAACAAAGTTTAAAATAAAGATGAAAGTTTAGATTTGTGAAATAAAAAGATACTTGACACTTGGCAAAGGGGGTTGTGTTGTTTATTTAAGTCCTTGAAGGGCTGTCCATTCTGTTGTGCAAATAAAATGAGCCAAAAGATGAAAAATACCTAAAATGGCAGAAACTGTGTAATCATCTGTTTGAGACAGACTTTTTCTTCTTTTATTTGCACGCTGTTTACCTGGGACTGATGACTCCAGTAGAAGTCCATCAATACAAAGTGAAATAGCCTGATGTTTCAGTGCAGCTGACAGGCATGAGCACGCCTTCTGAGCGTGTGTATCGTGGATAACACACTTTTAACCCTACCTCCACAGAAGGGCTTTGCGTTTTTCCTTATTACTTGTCTCTATCCAGTTCAAGTTCACAGTGATAAATCTAGCTTATAAGGCACTTACAAAGATGGGTGTGGTGTGCTGATAGCATTCATGATTAAGTGCTTTCCTGTGTCAAATATAGCCTGTAATATACTACAAACAGGCAGTCGATTTTTATACAAACTGATCTGGCTGCTATCAGACTCTGACATTTTATACTAATACTTAAAATAAATCTAGAAACAGGAAAGAAAGTACAGAATTATTGTTTTAAGCAAACTGTGAGGGCTTATCTTCAAAGTGGCAGAGTTTCTATTGTATTTAAAGAAACTGGTCCGTATACTGGTGTAAAGGTTAGAAGTACGCATGAAGCTGGAGTTAACTTTCAGCCTCAGTTTTCACTTTTGATATAGATCCTCTAAGATGCTTTTTGTTCTAACTCAAAGACTTTAAAATATGTTTGCCTTATTGTATTTTTTCCAATCTTGCCAACTTTGAATTGAAACCTACTCCTATTGAAATCTCTTGGAGTTTTTGCCATGCATTGCAAAAGGGCTGGGATGCAGCAGCATGCACTAAAATGTGTGTGACTTGCTCAACACCACAGGCTACTTACAGACGAGCTGAGGACATATGAGCTAACTTTAGCCGTCTTTTCATTGTGCGTCTTATTACATGTAATGTCCTCATGTCTTTTGAGTTACCTGTTTTAAAGGCTAAGAAATTGCTTAGAGTTTGGTCCCCTTGCAAATCAAGACTGTTTTTGATCTGAATGTGCTCACCTTAGTGGACTTCAGAGAGAAGGCACTTGAATATAAGGAAAAAGTGTAAGGGCTAAGGAGGAACCAAACCCCAAATAAAGCTGAAGCCAAAACTTATGAAGTAGGAAACATTTTAACAGAGGACACATTTCTCATTTGAGATTTTGACCAGATTCTTTTACTGCCATGCTAAGGCCATTTCCATGACCCTACCTGAGTCTCAGAATGTCAACCATCCACATGGTTTATGCCCATGCTCACACTGGCCATAGGCTTTCTTCAGCTGTGGTTTGCTAAGGGGAAAGCCCAATCACACCTGCACTGTGATCTGACCTGAGCTTCCTTTCCCACCATCTGGACAGATCAAATGTGATATGATGGTCCCCAGAAGACATTTTAAGGGAGTTTGAGCTCCATCTGGACTAATAGGCAGCAGTTCAGACTGAATATAGTCCAGGACTGTGGAGTTTCCCATCGTGAGCCTATATTTGAGGCTGCTGTTGATTTTATAGTGTAAATGCTTGTCTTATCTTTTCTCCCACAAGTGAAAATGACTAACTGTGGCATGTCAATGTCAAATTCTGAACCTAGGGAAATGCTGAGACTTAACAAAAAATGACATTTCTATAATGGAGAAACAAAAATGAGGAACTTCTTATAAATGTGAAAATTCATGGACTTTAAACAACTGAGTGACAAACTTTATAAGATAAAATCCTAAACAGTCTAATTAATTTAATAGTCATGGTCTTTTTTGTTAGTAATTAGAGCATATATTCCACCAGTTTAAATCAACCAACATGAACAATGTTGTCACTCCAACCTATTACTTTCTGAAGTCATCTGAATAGTTAAAATATAGCTTTTTAGCTTTTTATTTATCTATAAATATAGCTTTTTATTTATTATAGAATTGTAGAATTTAAGCTAAAAGAAATAGATGAGAATATTTCTAGTCTGAGTCCTTCTTTTTCTTTCTCTCTCTCTCTCTCTCTTTTTTTTTTTTTTTTCTTTCCCCTCTTGCTGACTGGTGTTCTTTCAGGTTGGAACTATGAATTTGTGTGTAATTGGTACATTTTACTTGTGCAACACTGCTTTCATCAAAGGTACACATGACTTTCCAAGAAAAGAGAATGTTTTAAAAAATCAAAATTATTGCAAAAATCACACTCCTGGTCTTGGAATGTGGATGTTTGGTGAATCCTTGCAACAGACTAGTTTTAACACACTGTGATGACAAGGGGTGAGGGAAAAATGAAGGAAAAAATACCTGACTGACAGCACTCCACCCAGATAAGGCCACTGCTTACAGAAACTTGGGAATGGCTCAGTGCAAGGGCTGTGCCAGGAACACACGCTCTGCTGCATCCAAGAGTGGTTTTCAATCATTCAGCTCTGAAGAGGTCAGGAGTAGCAACAGCCTGCAGGCCTGTCCTCTCACCACAGGAAAGACTCATGCCACTCCTGAATCTGATTTAGGTCCTTTTCCTTACAATCTCTACCTTATTTATAGAATAACAGAATAATTTACATTGGAAAGGACCTCTGGAGGTCATCTTGTCTGACTCTCTGCTCAAAGCAGGGCTAACTTAAAAGTCAGATGAGGTTGTTCATAGCCTTGTCTACTCAAGTTTTGAAATTCTCTGAAGATGGAGATTCCAAAACTTTCTGGATGTGTTTAACCACTCTTACCTGTTCTATTTATTTATTTATTTATGGTTGATTGATTGGTTTGGTTTGGTTTTCTGTTTTTATTTCTTTCTTTATATTTCCTTCTTATACTTGTTGAGAATTTCCCTGGCAGCACCTTGTGACCATTTGACATTTCTCCTTTGGCTGCACACCTCTGAGAGAAGTCTGGCTCCATCTTGTCTGTAGCACCCTTTCAAGTAGTTGAAGATTACCATCAGGTCCCCCTCCCAGCCCCCAGCCTTTTCTTCCAAACCCTTTTCTAGCCAAACCCAGTTTCCCCATCCCATCCTTGACTGCCCTGCACCACAGTCCTGGTGGCCCTCCATTGGTCTAAGCCTAGCTTGCCAATGCCTTTTACAGGGGAACTCAAAACTGGACATGACACAGTACACCAAATGTGGCCTCAAAAATGCCAGTTGGAGGGGAATAACCACTGTTCTCCAACTGCTGGCTGCTCTCTTGCTAATGCAGCCTGGCATGTGGTTAGCTTTCATTGCCTCAAGGGCGCACTGCTGATTCGTGTTCAACATCACCACCCCAGGTCCTGCCCTGCAGAGCTGCTCCCTCCCCAGCCCTTCTCCAGCTTACACTCTTTCAGGGGCTTCTTCTCTACCATGTGAAGGACATTGCATTTGTTCTGCTGAAGTTTATGAAGTTTCTGTCACCCAGAAAGGATGTACAGTGTTACGCAACTTCAGCAAATCCATCATCCTTTTCTCCAGAGCAAAGGTCTCGGCTTTCTCACTCTTTACAGGAGCCCATAGATGAGAAACTAACCTACATCCCATAAAACTGGTTCTCAAACAGACCTGCATCACAGCATCTCTGTGCTTTATAATCAACCTGTACACAAATGTGTAGTGTCAGACAGGGTTTATCTGATGCTCAACAGATGAGGCTGGGCATACTGTGTTGTGTCATGTCAAAAAGGAGCAGAATATTGCGAGTGGTTGTCTCATTGGGCAAAACGAGGAAAATAACACGGAATATGAAGGACACAACCCTAATCAAATCATTTTCATTCCTCTGAAGAAAACATTTAATAGTTAGGTGAACTAGACAGAAGAGTTGACGTATAAGACATTGTCATCATAATGGACAAATTAGTTCTTCCTGTAGGGTGTGAGAATCTCTCTTTCTTGGGCTATTGGAGAACAAGAGAAATTTCTGGACATACACACACAGGAATTTAGGAAACATTAATTGTCTAGATTTTTTTTTTTTTTTTTTAACACAGGTGGCAGAAAATAATCACATGGGTCTGAATTTCTTACTGAATGCCATGTCTCTTTTTCTGTTGATAGTATTCAGGAGAATGCTAATGTAGTCTTTTGGGAAGGTAGGATTTTGAGTGAAACCAGGGCTTTTACACTTCCCCTAGTGGAATTTCTTCTAGGCTTCTCCCTGGAGAACAGATAGCGGTTGGCCACAGACTGAGAATCAAACAGCTGAATACACAGACCATGGTCTCTGAAAAACTTAGCTTGTCTCCTAAATTCTTAGGCAAATTTTGTATAGTTTGTGGAAAACTCTTAACTTTTTGATTGAAATTCTGATATGTCCCTTGCTGTCTATTTAAATGTGACATGCATCTTATGCAGTACTTTCTAAAAGTGTGTGGAAGTGTTTGAAATTTTTTTAAAGGCTTCTTAAAAGGCTAGGTCATCAGTTGTTGTGTCAGGAATATGTGGTTACTGTACTAATTAGAAAAGGCCTGGTATACTTATTAAAATCTATGGGAGTTCTGCTTTTGAATTCATCTGGGACAGATTCAGTATCCAAATCATAACTAAACTCCTTCAAGGCCAAATAACAGAGGTGAGTGGAGATGAAACTGTTCCCATCATCACAGTTATATCTGATTGTGTGCCCATCCTGCAGAATGGGAATACCTCAGAGCAGGAGATGTACATGGGAAGCATGCCAAGTCCTGAAGCCCTTTGTTCATTTCACCACAAGGAGGAAATAAGGAAAACCCTCAGTGTCTGACTCATGGCAGACCATCAGTGGCATCAAGTTTGGAGTGAAGCAAAAATTATAGTTGCCTAAGGCAGCAAAGAGAAATTGCAGTCAAAGGCATTGCTGAGGCTGGCTTCAAGGATCAGACTCTGAGGTGACAGACTGACCTAATTTCTGGGATTTGACAAAAACAACACATCTGCATTAAAAACAAAATATGTGAGGGAAAAAAAAGGTAGCTTAAAGTGTTTGAAAGGCTTTTGCCAGACGTTCTCAGCACTGCAGTTCTCACTGTTCTGGATCACTTCTTTATTGTTTATCTTAAGTAAAGCCCTTTGTAATTAAGTTAATACTGATTTAATCATGACAATCATAGCTGGTAGATATCCAAGCCAATGATAAATAAAATTAAGCAGTGGACAGATTACATCTATAAGAGATTGAAGAATAAAAGAATACTGCAGGGGCAGGTCATAGTGCAGTTTTCCTACTGTAACTACTGTTAAAAACAAACCCAAACAAGGCAGAAAGCTAGAGCTGCTTCTTCTGCAAGTATTTAATCATGCTTTGTGTAGTAACTGTTGGACTAGTTTGTTAACACAATCCCATGTAGTGGTGAGGATTTGACAGCCACTTCATTACATTGCAACTTGGCTTAAGGATGGTGGGAGACTCACTCATTGTGTTTTAGGTAATTTGTGTTCATTAGCAAGCACAAAGCCATCAAAGCCATGTTTGCCTTCTCCTGCTAAGCGAGGCTACAGCTCTCTCACCTGGACTCAGCATCATCCAGATATGCAGCAAGGCTGTCCCATCTGACGCCTCATCTAGAGAGAATGAGTTGGGATCATGAGGCATTAGGCACAGCTCCACTATTTCTTAATTTCCTTTAATTACCTGGCGGGTTGTCTGCCCAACAGTAGCAGCAGATTGGAGGGGTCTTGGAGGCAGGTGGCGGAGCCACTACCTGCAGTGCCAGTACAATACTTCATCAGGCTTAGGTCCCCATCCTCAGACCAGTGCTTGCTCAGATAAGCTAGCCAGCGCTAGCAGAGGAAAACCCTTTAGCATGATTCATGTGTTACCTGAAACAATGTCACAGCCCCATTTCAGATTAGAAAATGTAATTACCCTGATCAGTTGTTTACTAAGAAATTGTTTGAAGCTTTCCAAAGACATTGTTTGCAGTCAGGGCAGTATCACTTCCATTGTGTGTTTTGTGTACTGGCCTGGATAGATAATGATGTGAGCTCCTAGAAAACGACCCTCCCTCAAAAGCACTGAAGTTTAAAAAGAGTTTACAACCCAGCTGTAGAATCTTGTACAAGACACAAAATGTATCAGCCTTTAAATCCATGACTATTAAGCTCATTATGTTTTAATTTGAAAATTGGACACTCAATGTTTCAACGATTTATGACCTTACCCTGTACACACTGAAGTCAGTGGGAGTTTTGTCCTTGGCTTCATTTGGAACAGGATTAAGTTCTTGTGATGTAATGTTTGATCTCCAAGCAATGAACTCAAGAAATAACTAGATCTGAGTAGTTATCAAGATCACTTAGAGCTAATCAGATAAAAACACTGCAATTTTGAGGGAAAGAGGGAGGGTGCCAGAAATTCAGGGCCACTGACTGCCATGGGAAGACATGGTGGAGAGCATTTCTGTGTTGACTAAATTTAAATCACAGTCACAGCTGTTCTAAGCCAGCCCAGGCTGGAAAAAACCTTGGCTGACTTACAGAGTGGAGCAGCTCTGAAGGACTGCCATTTCATTTCAAAACGAAGTTCAGAATAGATGCCAAACTTAAATGTTACATTGCACTGGGCTCGATATCTCATATCTCTCACCGGTACTAACCTGGGAGCAAAATCTGGTCTGAAACAATTGAGTACTGGGGATTGATACCTTTGAACACAGACATGTTCATACTTTTTTTTTTTTTTTTCCCTTCTTCACACTAGTGTTAGGCTATTGGAAGTGGAGAAAGGGTGAAATTGGCCATAGTTCTCCCACACTGATTTTCCAAAATGGGGATATTTTCTACAAGGGAGGAGCTTTCTAAATTAACACAATGACACAGTAACACAGTACTAACACTGTAACACTGTAATTAATTACTGTATTAACACAGTAACACAGTGAGTTAACACACTGACAAAAACGTTAGAAGACACAGATGAAGAAAACATCCTTAACCTTAATTGTGCTTTGATACAGCTGATATCACAGCTGATGTGACCACATTCTGCACTGACTTCCAGTGTTTTACAGACGTACCCTTTGAACTTAAATTTATCCTTATATGTGTGTGTCCTTATACACATCCTGACTCCCTTTACACTCTAAAGGTTCTTGAAAATGGCAAATCTAGCACATGTAAAAAAAAATGTGATAATTAATTCACTGGCTTTCAGCTTTTTTGGAAGAGCTTCAGGCATGCATAAAATGCACAGATTTCAATGTGGATGCCTTTGCTATGAGGGAAATGCTGAGTGTAGTGCATGCTGCTCGGGAAGCCAGCAGAGCTATTAGCTCAAACTGCCAGCAAACTGATGGCTGTCCTGTGACAAAACTGGATTGTAGCATTTCTTCTGGTTATAGTGCCGGTAGCTGATTGCATGCTCTGCGCTGGTGTGGTGCTGGTGGCACACAGCTGGAGCAGAGGTTCACATTTGCAAAGTCTGGGGTGCAAAACTGAAAATAACTAGCATGAAAGACAAACCCAGGGAAACTTGCTGCACAACGTTTAACTAATGCTTTTCAGTGGCAGGGAAGGGGCATTTATAGCTATCCTCTTTCACCTTTCTTTGCCTGGAAAAGCAGCAGTGGTTTTAGTTTTCTCTGAAACCCATCAGATTCCCTGTACCTGTGCAGAGGTGAGAGAGCTGCTGGAGCCATGGAAACATCCCGATACAATCCCCAAGGACTGGTTTCAAGGATCTCCTCCCCCTTCACTCCACCTTTCTCCTCCTCCAACCTGCCTCCAAGGGCTCCCTTGCTGAAAGCTGTGCCAGAAGGAAAGTGCAAATCTGTATTTTAATTTACCATAAAGCCTGGAAGGGCTATTGATACACCCTCTTCCTACCTGTCAGAGATCTGAGAAATGCCTCGTGTTGGAAGTATTGGGAATAAAACATTTGCTGCAATTCATCACGTTGGTTTTACAAATCCAGAGCTTGGTCTCACCTTCTCCAAAGCAGCTGGCGTGGAGATGTCTCGGCTGGCACTCCTGAACCACGGTGCTGCTCCATTGCTGATCCCATCACCAGCCTTCTACCCCATTTCAGTAATCAGATTACAGCGTATACACGTAGATTCAGTCATCAGCAAGGAAGTAGTGATTGCCTCCCTTGCTCATGACGGCATCACATAAATCCACTTCCTACACAGAGAATAATGAACCGGAATCTTTCCTCGCGTGGAAGGCCATATCCTCCCTCCAGTCACATGCACAGAGCCTGGACTCCTAAATGCATGTTGATCGCAGGGCCCTCCACAGCGTCTCTGTCTGAAGCAGCCATCCAGGTGGAATCATTTGTGAAATCCAGATTTCTTTTCTCACATGTGAAGTAGCTTTCCAGTATCCCAAAAAGGAGATTTTTGTGGAATGGGATAGAATATAATTCTTGCAGAATTAAACCCATTGGTTTGAGCTATTTCCCCCACTCACAGGATAATGCAGACACAGCTAATAGATGCCCATACAGGTACGAATGTAGCAAGAATATCCAAGTGTTTGCAGCACTGGAAGACACTGAAAATGTGAAGGGGTCTGAAAAACTGGTATTTAATGCACTGATCTTTGGAGCCTTCACAATGAGGCATTGTTAGATATAGGATCTGCTAAACAATGAGTCCTTGATAGGACATAATACCTATTCAGAAGCTCAGCTTTGCACACTTGCTCTTAAAACATCCTTAGCTCAACTTAAATTTACCTTTGTTGCACACAATGCACATGTGACAGACGGTTGCATTCATTCATCTACTTTATTTAGATCACTGACCAGCTTACCTACTGTCTGCTGTAAAGCTGAGGTTGTTATGGGTTCTTGAAGCGGTGCTATTGATAGCTGGTAGCTTTCGAAACTGTCACTGTCAGATGCTTCCCTGAAATAATGTTGAGGTGAGATTAAAGCTTGGAGCTCTGTGAGCACAACCTGGTTTTGTCTAGTTGCTTTTTGTGCATACCTTATATGCCCTGTTTGGACAGTTTCTCCCTGTGAATAAAAAGTGCAGCTTACAGCACATGCTGTACTTGGTCTACCAGTGATTAAAGATCCAAAAGTACTGTTTGTTGTTAGCAATCAGTTAGGCACCTCCTATTGCTGTGGGCTGATAGCCAAGCTTGCAGGTCTGGAAGAGGTAAGAAAAAGCAGGACACAATATCCCAACTGTACATAGTGTACTCTGCTACCTGAACAGATTTTCCTCAGTGAGCACACTCGTGTACAGCTGGCATTCCTGTACGACTATGGCACATGAAGGTGACAAAAAATAGCAAAGGTTTTCACCAGAAATGGTCTGTTCGGCCTTGGATTCTGGTCTTGGAAATGTCTCACAAACAAAGTAGCTGCTTTAACAAACATGCCTGTTGTTTCAAAGTGTGCAAGTTCCCCCTGCAACACCTGAACAAAACTGACCATTTGAAAATGGGTAACCTTTTAACATTTCATACACTGAAAATAGAAATTTCAAGGCACCAAAATCTGTAGAGGTTTGTTTGTCCATTTTTCCAGCTGATTTTAGATTTTCTATTTTTTTTTTTTTTTCAAAATCTAAAGAAAATTTTCCAAAACAAAAAATGTCAGTGGTGATTTTAATATAAAATATGTGTTTAAATTGTAGCTGTTTATAGCAATTTCTGGGGACTCATTCAGCTGGAAAAATACTTCATACCTGGCTGAGGTGTTGGGGTGCTGCAGTTCCAAAGAGTAAAACCCATCGTGTGGCCAGGCAGTACCTTGTAGCAGTAATGGGTCTAATCAAAGGCAAATGCTACTGAGCTCATCTGACACAAATCTTCCCAGAGGCTGAGTGGATCATGATTCACACTTCTGTCTGCTGCAGTAAAGTTGCAATGCTAATGGTAGGGGAGAAGAAGAAAGGAAGGGCTACTGAGCGAACAAGTTCATGCTTGTCCTTTGGACAAGCCTGTTCTTGCTACCCTAACAAGATGGTTTGCATGGTGCTTAAAGCAGGAACAGGAGGCTGACCTTTCAAGGAGGGGAACTTGTGCAGTAGGAGTAATTAATTGCATGTGTGATGGGCCAAGTGACCATCAGAATGATCTACAAAGCCCTTCAGCGTGACCGTGGTTTGATCAAGCGTAAGGGTGAGGAGGAAGTAGTGTATTTGCACATGTCCCTTGTCTAACTGTTAATGCAATAGATGTAAATTAAAAGTAGAAGTTGTGGAAACTCCAGGAAGCAAATCTGTTGCCTTTTAGCCATCAGGAAATGAAAATGAGAAACTTAGCTCAAAATTGGAACAGCTGAGATTTCATTTGGCTCTTGGGATCCCTATCATTGCTCACATTCACTGCTAATTTGGGTGCTATGGGCTGATCTAGAGACAGACTGTCCCAGGTTTTACAGTTATTTCTCAGTCCTTTGATAACTCCCACTTATCCCTCCCCTTCTACAGTGCTTTAAAATGTCATTGGGTATTTACATTTTCAATAGTGAAAAATATAGGTCTGCCTTTTAAATGGCCATCCCTTTCTGTTACCAGGCAGCCTGATTGCCTGTGATTGAAGACAATTTTGCATGTAAATTAGGTGCTTGGAAAGGTGGCAGACATAGGGTCTGTGGATTGGCATGCACAGCCAGCAAGGTGGAGACCAGAGTGGGGACACTGTGACTCATCTGCTTTGCCTGGGAAGCTTAAAGTCCCACTGGAAGGGACTTGTTTCTCTATGGTGTCTGGCCACATCCCTTTTCAAGCCAAGGAAAATATTCCTGGAAATTAGGCCATCCTTCCTGTCAAATATGTATCTTAAACATCTTTCTTATAGATCCATAGAACAAGTACAATTGCACCTAGCTAGCATGAGACCAAGCACTAATGTATGTTTATTTTTAGAGAATTAGTTAGCTGAATGGGAATTTGCCTTCTGATTGTGTTGTTTGCACAGTGTTTTCAGACCTGGTTTCCTAAAGGTTAAGGGAGATCCTTGCCAAGGCTTTGAGCATAAATCTCAGCCACCTCTGCAGGGTTTCACCAGCTCTATGGCACCTTCTAACAGGGATGCAAATCTCGGCACCCACCTTTGCCTTCCCCTCTCCTGGTACAAACGGATATAGAGGGACCCAGAACTTACTACGACCAGGTTTTGCAGTGCTTTCACCCCATGCTGGCTATCAAAGGCAACTGGGATAAGTCTGCCTGAATTATCAGAGCACTAGTCCATGTAAACAGCAGCTTGTCTGATATCTCCTTTGCAAAAGAATCACTTGGTAGCAGAATGGAGTATCACTACAGAAATATATATCTTGGGCTTTATGGCTCATGTTTTTCAGTGCTATATGTGAGTAGAAGCAGTGGAAATTAAAATTTAAGTGTTCTAAATCATTTCTGCACCAAAATTGCAAAAGCCTTGGTGAGCTTTTCGGTTAAAATTATCTGATGTTGATGTCTGTTATTTGTTAGGGCTAGTTAACCTTCTCATACACTGAAGTAAACTGTATTGGCTGGTTCATGGTTATAGCATCCCCAACAATTCTACCCGAGCACCTCACAGCCTCCTGTTACTTCTTTCATGTATCTCTTAGAAAACAAAGGAAGTGTTCAGTATTTCTCTTGTAGTCCGTGGTCTGATTCAGGTCTCTTCATGAGAAATCACAACCCACTGTGAAAACTATTTCTGTATTGGAGAATGGATCTAACAGCAAGACTGGCACCATGAGGATAAGGGCCAGAAAAGGCGGAGGTGACTGACTTATTGTTAGTGCTGTGAGTCACTGTTGAAAGTCAAGGCCAGCATTTTGTCTGGGGAAAGTGTTTTCCTTCAGGACAGGGGGCAAAGAGGAGCTGACTTTATTGCTGCATCTTGCAACAGCTGCATAGCTAGGAGTAGGGTTAGAGGCAGCCAGGTGAAATACCCCATTGCTGGTTCTGTGAGTGCTAGAAATCTCTGTGGTGCAATTCAAACTGAGCTGGAGTGAGAAGGAGGGCCCAGGGTACTACAACAAGCCTAGAGGTAGGTTGTTGTTGTCTGTTTGTTTGTTTATGGATTCTATAAAAGCTGTAACCTTTCTAATGTTAAGTTCAGACAGCAACTTTTGGAAATGTATTTGGGTCACTAGACAGAACTGCTGACTCCAGCCTTAGCGGTATACATGTGCCAGATAATTTCATAATGGTATATAACCACTTGGTTATAGTCATAAAACGGAAACTGGATTCTTCTTTATCTTTAGTCATTGCTTTGAGACCATAAGAGCCCTCATTCTGGCTCTGCAGCCACCTCAGTTTTTGGCTTCTGTTGTCCTGTTTATTGTCCATCTCCAAAGCTCAGCCTTACGTTGGCTTGTGAAATGATTGATGGACTCCCTGTTAACAAACTTGAAGCCCTTTGTTACTGTCTCCAGCCTTTGCTAGGCTTTGCAAGCTTCCTTCTGCTCCAGCTAGTTCCAACCCTACTTTAATAGCCCATTGAGCCCATCCCTGCCAGTGCTGGTTGTTTCAACATCAGTCTGCATCTTATTCATTTCCAGCATCTTATTCACTTCCAGTTGGTGCCTGCCCTCATCATAGACCTCTAGTTATTGTAGAATTTAGTGATAAAGCAATCTTTTCAGTTCATGCTGTGCCTGACCAGAACACAAGCCCAAATCTAACTGTAGGGTAAGGTACAGCACAGCAAACTCAGAGAAAGTAATTTACCCATTTTAGCTTAGTCTTTATCCCACTACTGCAGCTTTGCACATCCAGTAATAAAATCAGCTCTGTCCTGGACACAAACTCTAACCCCAAGATGAGACTGTAGTCCAATCCATTTTATTTGTTAGCAGACCTATGTGCTTTAAGGTATGCTTTTTGCATCAATGTTTATGCTGCAAGCTACACAGGGTCACTCAGCTACAGTTAAGCCTTAGCCTTGAGTATCACAAAGGTGAAGACAGCTCACTGCTGGATCCTACTGTCCCTGCAGGGCTGGGATGAAAGTCCAGTCTGACAGGTGAGAATATTTTAAGGCAAGTTTTAAAATGTTTTGGGGTCATCCTAGGGCTGGGTCAAGTTTCTCATAACTAAGGATGGAAGCTGTATGTTTGTGCAAGGTCCTGCTAGAGTCACAGCTCCTGTGGGCATAGACAGAAAGATTTCCTGTTGTGGATACAAGTCCTTGGGATATGGATAAATTATGGTAAGGTTAAAGAGTATGTAAAAGAAGAATGAAGAACTGAAATTATTACTGGATGCTGGATTGCTGGTCTTGCTGGGAGAACCGATGTGAACATCGTGTTGAGGAGTCTGTGATAACCAAGAGTTACGTGATTGTTGGGTTGGGTTTGGGCTTAGGTTTAGGATAACTCCAAGACAGGTAGCTTTGTAGTTGGACAGATAAAGCTCTCAGAGATAAAGCGAAGATGAGGCCCATTAACATACTTAAAGAACAAATAAGTGCTATTTTTATTTCTGCTGTAGAAAGGATTTCTGGGCTGCAGTGAGGTTACTCTGGGGATTAGGGTAAGGATTTTGGACAAGTAGAGGTAGGTGTATTTCTGAATCATACAAAACATTGCAAGGATGTAGGCTTTTTCTAGTCATGATAAAAGCCTTTTGATT